CAAATGCTGGAATTGTCACAGGAAGCGCTTCAGCAGGAGTTTTAAACACTGGAGTGCTCCACCAGGAGATCCAAATGCTGGAATTGTCACAGGAGCTGCTCCAGCAGGAGTTTTAAACACTGGAGTGCTCCAGCATGAGTTTTGAGCACTGGAACAGTCACAGGGAGTGCTCCAGCAGGAGATTTAAATGTTGGAATAGTGAAAGGCAGTGCTCCATCAGGGGTTTTAAACACTGGATTTGTCACAGGGAGTGCTTTACCAGGACTTTTAAACACTGGAATTGTCACAGGGAATGATCTACCAGGAGTTTTTGAGTACTGGAATTGGTAGAGGGAGTGCTCCACCAAGAGTTTTAAACCCTGGAGTGCTCCACCAGGAGTTTTTGAGCACTGGAATTGTCACAGGGAATGCTCTTCCAGGAGTTTTAAACACTGGAATAGTGAGAGGCAGTGCTCCACCAGGAGTTTTAAACACTGGAGTGCTCCAGCAGGAGTTTTAAGCACTGGAATTTTCAGAGGAGATGCTCCACCAGGAGTTTTAAGCACTGGAATTGTCACAGGGAGTTCTCCAGCAGGGGGACTTGAGCACTGCAGTTTTCCACCAGTTTTAAGCACTGGAATTGTCTCAGGGAGTGCTCCTGCAGGAGTTTTAAACCCTATAATTGTCCCAGGGAGTGCTCTACAGGAGATTTTTAGCGCTGGATTTCTCACAGGGAGTGCTCCAGCAGGAGTTTTAAGCACTGGAATTGTCAGAGGAGATGCTTCATCAGGAGTTTTAAACCCTATAATTGTCACAGGGAGTGCTCTACAGGAGATTTTTAGCACTGGATTTCTCACAGGGAGTGCTCCAGCAGGAGTTTTAAGCACTGGAATTGTCAGAAGAGATGCTCCATCAGGGATTTTAAATGCTGGAATTGGCAGAGGTGATGCTCCTGCAAGAGTTTTAAACACTGGAATTGTCACAGGCAGTTCTCCACCAGGAGTTTTGAACACTGGAATTATCAGAGGGAGTGCTCCAGCAGGAGATTTTAAGCACTGGAATAGTGAGAGGCAGTGCTCCACTAAGAGTTTTAAACCCTGGAATTGTCACAGGGAGTGCTCTACAGGAGATTTTTAGCCCTGGATTTCTCACAGGGAGTGCTCCACCAGGAGTTTTGAGCACTGGAATTATCAGAGGGAGTGCTCTACAGGAGATTTTAAGCCCTGGAGTGTCAGTGATGCTGAGAGGCAGAAGCTCTGTATTGGGTTATCAGTTGAAGTTTGGTGTGTGCCCTGCAGAGCTGTGACCTTCCCTAGCCCTGCATGCAGGTGTCAGGTCACTAAATCATGACTATTTAGAGGCAGTTATTAAAGGTTTAGAGAAAATATTCCATTTTTCACATTCCTCCCAAGCTCTTCCTGGTTACAGCCCCCCTGTAACCACGAGCTCTGCTCTGTGCTCCTGTAGCATCATCTCTGCAAACCTGTCCCATCTTCTCCCTGTCTGTTCTGTGTGCAGCCCCCTCCTCCTGTCACTTATTTATTTTCTCTTTTCAGTTCTAATGCTTATGGTTTCTTTTTCCAGTATGACAGACTTAACCTGCTCAAAGTAAGAATATGTTTTTCCTTTTTCTTTCTTTTTTCCTCTCCCCCTCTCCATTTTACTGTCTTGTTGATTTTCACAGTTTGCATCTCCCTCTCAGTGAGTTTTAAAAAAAAAAAAAAGATAAATTAGAAGAGAGATTTAAGGAGAGATTTAAGGGCTGAGGTTGTTTGGATTTTGGACAAGGCTGTTGGTCTTGGTGGAGGCAAAAGCTGAGGTTTGAGTGTTGGTATATTTAAGGATGTTGGTAAAATTATGGACATCAGCATAATGGAGTATCGGTATAATCAGCAATCATCCATAATCCATAATTATGGATCTCAGTATAATTTTTTTTGTGTGGAAGAGCTTAAAGAAGAACCTGCAGAGCTCCTTTCTAGACCCTTGATTCAGGGAAAATGGAATTCAATTTTGAGTACGGAAAAAAAAATAAAATAGTTCCTGCAATGAATGCAGCAGAGAGGACTGAAATGCTGTTGGGCTGTGCTGACACCACAGCATGGGCACTCTGATTTAGCAGGCAGAGTGGCAGCAGTGCCTCTGCTCTGTGTGTGCCAATTATAGTTTGATTATGAGTTTGTTTTTTTTTTTTCCCCAGGAATTTCTGAGTTACGCCTTTTGCTCGTTAAGGCAGACAGATGGCAAAACAAATCTGCAGGAAAATCAGCTCCACCTCAGGGGCTGTGCTCCTGAGGACAAGGTGCTGTGTGCATGGCTCAGATTAATTACCCTGCTGCTTTTTTTAGTCCAGACTGGGTTGCATAAGGTTTTTTTCCACGTCCTACTTGCAGAGAGGGATGACTTCAACCCAGTCCTTTATGAATGGATCAGGTGTGGCCAAATATGGAGAAGAGTGGGAAGCAGGAGGAAATTCCTCTGCTTGGAATGGGATATGAGCCATGCTCTGTGTTCAGCCCCTCAGCTCATCTCCTTTCCCCAGGATTTGGGGGAAAAAAGGGGGTGTTCCTCTTTTTAATGTCAGATTTTTGTATTTTTGTATTGTAGCCTGTGTGCTGTGTTACTGTGGGGCTTTTCATGAGGGAGCTCTGCAATGGATGCTTCAAAAATGGGATGCAGTGAGGTTCTGTGGCACACAGGGAGCTTGGAGCAGGCAGATCCAGGGTGGGAACAGAGCAGCTCCTGTCCCTTCACAGAAATCTGTTCCACTCTGATTTCATCAGCACTTTGCTCCTTCCCTGTGGCAGAACAACCCTGCGTGTCCTTGGTGGGCAGGCAGTGCCTGTGTCCCTGTGAATGAATATTCCAGGGAATTCTCAGTGAGGTTCCTCTGTGGCCAGGCACAGCACAGAACGTTTCCCTTCCTATTCCAGCCTGGAAAATTCCCCGAGGTCAGCAGCAAGATGGCTCCAGGGGAGGGAAGGCAGTGAAATATTGCTGCTGTTGTCCACTGAAGGGTTTGGGAGAGGGGACAGCACAGCTGGAGCTGCCCACCCTCATGGGGAAGGCTCTGGTGTCCCCAGGCTTCACTGCCATGAGGGAAATTCCCCCAAAAAGGGGGATTTCTGTGTCCTGGAGGAGCTCAATGTCCAGCCTGGCTGCAGTGGGAAGCTCATTCCTTGCTCTCCCTGTGCAGATAAATCTCACCTCCAGCTGGAAATTGCCAAGTGTGGCTTTCCAAGCTGAGCCAGCTCTTCTGTGTGCTCCAATGTGATGTGTGGCCTGTCCTCTCCAACCATCTGAAACGCCATGATAGGGATGGGGGGAAAAAACCAAAAAAAATCCCATGTGCAGATGATGCAAAACACTGTGGCTGAAATGCTGAAAAAAAAAATATCCCATCTTTTTTTTTTCCTTGCCTAGCTTCTCTAGCGATTTTCTACAGCACTTTTCCTGGCTCTGTGTGTGTGTGTGTGTCCCTTTTAAAATTCAAAACACCCTTGGGACATTTGCCTTTTGTGGGCAAAGCTGTGTCCTTGCCCTTCGCAGTGCTTGGAGGGCTCAATGTGAGTTTGACCAGCGGAAGAATGAAAGGGGAAGAATGAAAACCCTAAAGAGATGGCTGGCAGTGATGATGATGATGATAATGATGATGATGGTGTTGTGATGATGATGATAGTGATGATGGTGTTGTGATGGTGATGATGATGGTGATGATGTGATGATGATAATGATGATGGTGTTGTGATGGTGATAATGATGGTGATGATGTGATGATGATGATGATGATGATGAGCTCCCGTGTTGCTGGCTGGCACTGCTGGTTGCAGACAAGGTGACAGCATGTCTGTGTGTGTGTGCATGTGGACATGCACACCTTGGCCCGAGCTGTCTCCTGTTCCAGACTCCTGCTGCTGGACTTGTCCCTTGCTCCTGTAACTGGGGATAACTGTGTCACACCACTGTGAAACCCATTGAAATCTTCTGTTTAATCCCACTTTCACTTCACTAATGATCCAAACCAGATTGGACCTGCTTTCTCTGTCCCTCTTTCTTTTTGATCCTAAGATCTCTGTGCTAACTAATGCTTCTCTTTTATTTTGTCCTTACAGAAAAGCCAGAGTTGGTATAATGTAAGTACTCCCGTTTCTCTTGTCCCTGGGTGGCTCTGGGTGGGAGGGGGGAAGGTGCAAAGGGGCTTTGCAGTGGCACTGGGGCACCCTGACCATTTCCAGGAGGAGGAGCTGGAAATGGCTCAGCACTGGCAAAGGAGGGCTGGCGTCCTCAGGGAAGGGGTGCCAGAGACAGAGAGCAGAAGCTTTGTCCTTTTGGTCACTCTGGTGATGCTCCCCACATCCTAGAGGGCAGAAGCTTTGTCCTTTTGGTCACTCTGGTGATGCTCCCCACATCCTGCAGCTCTGGTGCCTCAGCATGGGGTGTGGTGACACGCAGTGACAAACAGAGCTGATGTCACAGACATATTTTATGGAAAAATCTTTTCCTTAAGATTTTTTTTCTCCTGAGAAGCTGAGAGGCCTCAGGAACAAAATGTAAACAGTGGGTATCTGCTGCTGTGGAATGCAACAGGTGCATCTGTGATTGGTCTCATGTGGTTGTTTCTAATTAATGGCCAATCACAGTCAGCTGGCTCGGACTCTCTGAGAGTCACAAGCCTTTATTATCATTCTTTCTTTTTCTATTCTTAGCCAGCCTTCTGATGAAATCCTTGCTTCTATTCTTTTAGTATAGTTTTAATATAATATATATCATAAAATAATAAATCAGTCTTCTAAAACGTGGAGTCAGATCCTCGTCTCTTCCCTCATCCTCAGACCCCTGCAAACACCACCACAGCTGCCACCCTGCAAACCCTTTGCGTCTCTCAGGGTGGTCTGGAGGCCACAGAGGGATTATTTTCTACCAACCCCAGAGAAACACCAACCACCCTTTGCTTCTGCCTTGGTGTTTTTTTCCTTCTGCCAGCACGAGGGGCACAAAGCCGGTGTCACCTTTGCACGGTGGGGCCCCCACCCTCTGAAGCAGCCATAGGTAAATGCAGCAGCCACCCATGGGCAGCCACAATTCCTGCCCTCCTGCAGCCTCAGAGCAGGATGGGGCCAGCAGAATGTGGGATTTGGGCAGGGTGGAGAAGCAGAGTCAGGATCCTGCTGGGTGTGAGCAGCATTGCAGGAAGAGACCCCAGAGGCAGAGAGGGACAGTGAATCAGAGGGACACACCTCTGAGCAGCTCCTGCCACCTCAGGAGGATCCTCCCCACAAATACCAAACTCAAACTTATTTTTAACTGGTGGCCACATTGCTCCCTCCCTGCCAGCCCCAGCTGGGCTCAATGGCTGATGCCTCCAGCAAAAAAAAGAAATAAGAAGATTTTATTTTAAGAATGAAATACAAACCTAGATGGGCCAAACTGGTGGAGAAGTACCCTCTGAAGCAGCCATAGGCAAATGCAGCAGCCACCCATGGGCAGCCACAATTCCTGCCCTCCTGCAGCCTCCAGAGCAGGGTGGGAGCAGCAGAATGTGGGATTTGGGCTCAAACAGTGAGATGGAGAGGCAGAGTCAGGATCCTGCTGGGTGTGAGCAGCATTGCAGGAAGAGACCCCAGAGGCACAGAGGGACAGTGAATAAAAGAATAAGATTTTATTTTAAGAATGAGATACAAACCTAGATGGGCCAAACTGGTGGAGAAGTACCCTCTGAAGTAGCCGTAGGTAAATGCAGCAGCCACCCATGGGCAGCCACAATTCCTGCCCTCCTGCAGCCTCAGAGCAGGGTGGGGGCAGCAGAATGTGGGATTTGGGCTGAATTTGGGCAGGGTGGAGAAGCAGAGTCAGGATCCTGCTGGGTGTGAGCAGCATTGCAGGAAGAGACCCCAGAGGCACAGAGGGACAGAGGCAGCGAAGAAAAGAATAACATTTTATTTAAAGAATAAAATACAAACCAAGAAGAGGTGGAGGAGTGGCAGATAAGGGCTGTGAGCAGATGCCTCAGTCTGAGCTGGCTGCTGCCAAACCCTGGCTCTGTCACCAGCCTAGAGGTGACTTTGGCTCTCACTGCTTCTGCCTGTAGCTGCTGAGCTCCATTCCCTGCTGCATGATGCTTTGCTGTGCTCTGTGGGTCTCTTGTGTTTTTCATGTCCTCTCTATCTTATCTTTCTGTTCTCTTGTTTTTCCTCCATATATTTTCAGCATGAGAGACAGTACATCCGGAGAGTAAGCACTGGCTGCGTTTTTTTGTGGTTTTCCCCACCCCACCCCATTATTTTCCTTTGTAAACAAAACAAAACAAACCCATTTTCTAGTTAGCGGAGACATTCTGGCCAGATAAAAGCAGCAGTGTGAAAATATGGATGAGGCACAGAGTGCAGGAAGCCAGTCAGTCCTACTTGGCAGTGTTATTTCCATTAAAATTTTGCTAATGCATCTCCTTGATAGAGTTTGGCAGCTCCTTCCAGGCAGGATTTTTCTGCCATTTGGACCATTCCGGTTCCTCCATTCCTCTCCCCTCTGAGGGCAGCTCTAGCAGTGAACCAGTGGAATCTCCCTCTTCATAGAACCTCACATTTCCTTTGCCCCACTCTTATTTTACACAAACCCCTCCACACTGTTCTGTGTGCCAGGCACTGTGCAAACCCAACCCAAAAAACAATCCCAAAAAGAGCAAATAGGCCTCAAAGATCTTCAAGGCACCACCAGTTTTCTTCATTTTTTTTGCTGCTTTTAACTGGTCTTTTTGTCTCTGGAACACTGCATTCCTCTTTGCCAGTTGGAACCTTCCCTTTCCCCTCTCCTGGATTCCTTTTTCTCTAATTTTTTTGTGGTTTTTTCCTTAAATGCCACCAACTTCTCGTGCCTTGTGTGTTCTGTGAATCCCAGCAGTGCTTTTTTTTGGGATTTCCATCCCTGCCCTGTGGAGAAATGGGAGGAAAGGGGTGAAATGAGCTCATGGGTTGGTCTGGCAGAGCTGCCCCTCTCTCTGGTTGTGCTTTCTCTGCTTGGCTTTGCAGAGGACAGATCCAAACTGGTGCAGGTGCTCTGTGAGAGTGAGAATATTTATTGTTTGGGAATAAATACACTCAGAGTTTTGGGGTTTGATTTGTGTTCTTGTCCTTGTGGTGGAAGAGCAGAAGCTCAGGGGAAAGGAAAAGTCCCTGAGGTGATTCTCATGCCTTTAGTGAGGAATTGTGTACATGGAGACTTTGGTTTGGAAATATTGTGGTTTTTAGGGGGACAAAAATCTGTTGGTCACTTGTGGTTTAACCATTGTAGTGTCTGCGTGGTGAATTATTGTTAATTCGTTTATTATTTTTAAAACAATTCATAGAACAGACCTCAGGCCTTAAAGCTGATTTTCCTTTGTAGTTTTGTTTGCTGGAACAGAGATGTGCTTACCCTGTACTCCTGAGGGGCTCTGAGAGGTGGAAATTTGTGTTTGGCTTCCCTGAGGACCCCAAGGAGGAGCTGCTCTGTCTGGGGGGTGTCAGTAACTCCACACCTGGGAGAAGCCACTTGTCACCCAGCAGATGCCATTAAAATGAGAGACAAACTGGAGATATTGTGCTGCCAGGGATAAAAATCTCTGATTCTCTCCTTATTTTCTCTGGGTTTTGGGCAAAGGGCCCCATTTTGGTGTCACTGAGCCTGACATTCTGAGCCTGGCACATCTGCCATGGTTTTCCTGCCTCATTCTGCCTCCCTTGGGCTGTGAACCCTTCTACTCCCTGTTCCCAGATTAGGGTTTGTGTCTCAATATCCTGCAGCATTTCTGCTGCTCCACAGCAAGGTTGGCTTCTAAACTCAGCACCAGGAGAATCCAGAGGATGCTCTGAAAAGAGAATCAATAAGATGAACTTGAAAAGTTAGAGAAAACTCAGCTGACAGCAGGGAAGAGGTGAGATTCAAATCCATGAGGTTTTCACTTGGCCATTTACATCCCAAAGTCTGCCTTGCTCTGAATTCCTTTATTTTTATCTCTCACATGCCTGAATATTTTCCTTCTTCCTTTAACTGAGCACTGAAAAGACACCAATTGTCTCTTTCAGGTGTTCCTAAATATTAGAATATCAGGAGTATTTGCTGTCCCACTGAGTGTGGGCAGATGAATAGAGCTCAGCCCTTCCCACCTGTGTTTGGGAGAGCAAAGTCTGCACTCAGGATTGCTTGAATATTTTTCTTCTTCCTTTAACTAAGCAGTGAAAAGACACCAATTGTCTCTTTCAGGTGTTCCTAAATATTAGAATATCAGGAATATTTGCTGTGCCAGTCAGTGTGGGCAGATGAATGGAGCCCACACTGAATAGAGCCCACAGATGAATAGAGCCCACACTTTCCCCCCTGTGTTTGGGAGGGCAAAGTCTGCACTGAGGATTGC